TGGTTCTTTTCTACAAGGGCCCAACAGTTTTTTCTTTTGCATCATCTGTTTTACTTAAAGGGCCTCTAGTGTTATCACAATCAAATTGGCTCATTGGAGGCCTGCTGCTTGTTGCTGAAAACTTTCTTTTTTCGATCGGGTACATTGTTCAGGTATTTTCATCAGATAACTTTTTCAGTTGTAAATATGCATTTTGTACACTAACAAAATTTCAATGACGATTACTTGAATACCATACCGCGTTGCAGGCACAAGTAATGAAGGTATATCCAGCAGAGTTCAATGTTGTCTTCTTGTGCAATCTCTTTGGAACCATTGTGTCAGTGCCAGTATGCTTAATAGCAGAACCAAACCTCAGTTCTTGGATTCTAAGGCCAAGAATAGCAGTTGCTGCAGTCATATACTCGGTATATAAACTAATGATATTCTAGAAAACACAGACTATATATATAGTAGTGTTGTTAAAATAAGCTGTTTGTGTCTGTTTAGGGATTTATTTCATCAATCATAAGTGTTGTGATGACATGGGGTTTGCACCTGAAGGGGCCTGTTTATATAGCCATTTTTAAGCCATTGGCAATCGCCATCGCAGCTAGTATGAGCGCCCTCTTCCTAGGGGATGCTCTGCATCTTGGAAGGTACCCTCTTATTTTTTTGGTTGATGATTTTATATTTCTAATCTTGTGTATAATCTTTTGACCCTGGTGTTGCAGTGTGATTGGAGCAGTAGTAATATCCCTCGGGTTTTATGCTGTGATATGGGGAAAAGCAAAAGAAGAAGTAATATTGGTTAATGATGATCAAAGTCCTTTGTTGCAAAGCTGTAAAGTTGAAAATATGTAGCGAAAAAGGACAATGGAGGAATTGTCAACACTTGGATTAATAAATCCAATAATGCTTAAGTTCTGTATCATTTCCCTTTAGATTTTTTAATTCTACACCTTATCGTTCAAGGAATTGGTTTGACAGGCCAAAAAGTCTTTCTTCTTCCTTACTCCTAATAGCTAATTGACTAATTAAGATAAATATTTTTCTAAATTATATTTTAAATATATCTGAAACGTATAAATTAAAATTTTAATTATTATATTTTTTAATATTAATTATTATAAAAATATAAAAATCGTCATTGATTTCACAATTAATACTTAATGAATAATTTTAATTAGATAAGTATTTAAATAAAAATTAATTTTTATTTTTCTTACACTAATTAATAAAAAAATATAATAATTACACTCTTAAACACAAATATTAAAAAAACCTCTAAGACAAATCCTTCAAGGAGTTGGTTTGAAGGGTCAAAAAAATCTTTCTTCTTTCTATTAGCTGATTGACTAATGAGAAAATTTTAGAGAAAAAAAAAATCTTCACAAATATACCATTTTATGCACACAAATCCATTATAAAATATAAATTTAATGTTTTATAACAAAAAAATATAAACAATTAAATAGAGAATGTTTCACTTAAAGAATTCTTTTTACTCTAATAATTAGTGTCGTTTAACACCTTACAGTGTAATAATTTTTTTTATTTTAATTACAAAATAAAAAATAATTATTCCTCATTATTTATTTCATTCCACTCACATAATATTGTTATTTTAATTTAAAATTTTTTATTTAAAAAAAATCATTAAATTAATTAATTTGTTACTCTTGCAGTGCAATTGAATCTACGAAAAAGCACTTTTGCCATACCGAAGACGTTATTTTCCAGATCAACTGGATTGATGGTAGACCTTTTGTCCACCACAAAAATATAAGAGTGGGACCATAAAGTTTAGAATATCTAAAGGGGGTTAAAGCCAACTATAGTCCTCATACTTCGTAAAAATATTAATTATCATCCCTCTACTAAGGAAATATTCAACATCATCCCTCTACTTTTCTTACACCATAATCGTCATCCCTCTACTACTCTTTCTTTGTTAGATGTCATCTTTAATTGGATGCCATCCATTTTGATGTTAACTTTGTCTATTAATTATCTAACAGTTAAACATTTAATTTTTGTTAATTAATTTTTTATCTACTAACAGAATTTGTTAACTCTTTATTAAAATAAAAAAATATTTATAAGATCAATTATCAAAAATTAAAAATGTAATAATTTAATTCCAAAAGTTTAAAAATAATTAATAACTTAAAAATAATTAGTAAATGACTTTATCACATATATGATAACAATGTTAGATATTTACAATTAGATCGACTGATTAACTTAATCTAACTAAAGAAATCTAATTAAGATTAAAAAAAATTTCTTGACTATATTTTTTTGATCTCTTAAATTTTTTATTTTAATTCAATTAAGAAATTTTCCTTAATTTCAGTCAAAATTCTTTCTCCAAATTAAGTTAATCGCTCAATTTGATTATAAATATCTAATACTGTTTTAGTATATGTTTTAGTATATGTGAAAAAGTCATCTATTAATT